CACAAACTCACTCACTTCTCTGGAACACCGTAGAAAAGTTGGAGATCTGGCTCTATTTTATAGATATTTTTATGGACGATGCTCTTCTGAAATATCAACAATTGTTCCTCCCTTGGCAGTCCCCGCGAGATTAATCCGTCTAGTTGAGGATTCGCACCCCTTCGTGGTCACTTTGGAGACCTGCAGAACAACAGGGAGGTGTTCCCCGAGGCATATAACCTCCAGAAATTTAAGAAGAACACAAATTCCTACCTTATTTTCCTTGGTTCTCACGATGTTCTCTGAACATTACAGGATATCCCTTTTCGTGGGAACCAGAACATACAAAAAAACATGTGGAGATAAGTTTAACTAAAAACTAGGTCAAAACCGGAAAATCAGGCAGGTAATTAAGTATATTGTTCTTTAAATCGGCTAAACAGCCAAAAGAACGATGTTGAATTGCATTATTGATTTCTTTCAAACGATGTTGAATTGCATTGTTCTTTTGGCTGTTTTGTCCATTTAAAGAAAAATATACTTAATTACCTGCCTGATTTTCCGGTTTTTGACCAAGTTTTTACTTAAACCTATCTCTACCTGTCTCCTTAGGTATTTTATGTGTCTGAAGATGGCCGTTGAGCCGAAACTAGTCAGAAACTTGATTTGTTAATATAATTTTTGTAGTCGACCGACTTTGTGTTATACTGTTTTTTCTGTGAAAAAATTCACATGATATTTTGTTATGGAGAATGAGAAATATTTGGACATGCTGGTTGCTCGAAAAAGTCAAGAATGAACTATAACATCAAGGGCTCCTCCTATTATGTTTTATTCAATGACAGGAATTTAACATCTTTTTGATAACTTGATTACAATTGGTCACTTGACAACTTTGCTTCATGAGTGGAAATGGAAGACCAATAACAAAACAGCATAAAAACTGACGTCACCATTTATCTAGCATGTCATAATATTGCAGAATAAACTCAATGCACGGAGGAACTCTGATAATGATTAAAACAGAGTTCTTGAAAACTTTTACTTTTGCGAACATTAACAGATATGACAATTTGATTGGGGAAAAAGAATTTGAATTTTCATTCACAACATAGTAATGTCTATATAGTGTGTGTCTATAGGCCACCTTCATCAGAGCATAACATTTTTATGGAAAGACTTGAATATTTATTATCAAAGTTGCCCCCCTTCGCATCAAAAATTTTAGCTGGAGACTTCAATATACATCATGTGAAAAAAACATGCAATAAAACCCAAACATTCACTAACTTGTTAGACTGCTTTAATCTAGTTATGCATGTAGATAGTCCCACCCGTATATCTAATTATTCATCGAGTATTATAGATTACGTCTGTACAAACATCGAGGATGTATCGACCTCAGTAATAAATCCAGGTCTATCTGATCATGAAGCAGTTTTCTGTATCATCCCCAACATTCTTAAAGATGCAACCATAAACCAGGGCAAACAGTATGGACGAATATATAGCAGAGAAAACTATGCACATTTTCTGAATCTCTGTCAAGCCACATATTGGGATTCTATAAAAAGAAACAGAAGATCCAGTTAATGAATTTCAGAAACTTGTTTGTGAAAATTTCGATAAAGCATTTCCGCTGCGCTTGTTGAAACGGAAAAAATCCAAACTCTGGTTCACAAAAGGACTTAAAACAAAAAATCTAAGATGCCTGCATACCATTAGAAAATTTCATAGTGACAATATATTTTTTATTTCATACTTCAATAACTTTCGTCGTATTTACAGAAAAACTATAAAATTAGCCAAAGATCTCTATTATACTGACCGACTGAATCAGGCAGGTAATAAACTAAAGGAAATGTGGACAATAATAAACGACTTGAGAGGTAATAAGAAACGAAATCAACCGGAAATAAAGATCAACTTAAACCATTTGAATGAATATTATTGTTCAGTAGCATCAAAAATAACCAAAGATATCATACCAATAGTAGATCCACTTCATAATTTGAAAAAGATGAGCTCTCCTATAGACTCCCTTTCTTTGAATGATACATATTTGAGTGAACTAAAATCTGTGATAATAGAAATCAAAAATAAAAACTCTGCTGGTGAAGACAACCTCTCAGCAAAGCTGCTTTTTCAATTGCCGGATGAAGCTCTTGAAGCCTTAGTAACAGCTATAAATACATCGTTTACCATTGGTGTGTTTCCTTCACGCTTAAAAATCTGCGAAAGTGTTACCACTCCACAAAGGAGGTGCCATTGATGACCCTAGTGATTACAGACCGATCTCAATTCTATCAACGTTATCAAAAATCATCGAAAAACTAGTCAAACGCAGGATGGTGAGCTTTTTGGAAAAGCACAAGATTTTAACTCCCGTACAATTTGGTTTCCAATATGATAAAAATACGACTGATGCCATTTTTAATTTACTTGAAAACATCTACACAACTCTTAACGAGGAAGTGGCTGCGGCAGTATTTCTGGACCTTTCTAAGGCGTTTGGTTGTGTGTGTCATGAGATCCTCCTGCAGAAACTTTTCCATTATGGATTTCGGGGAACAACATTAGAATGGTTCAGATCTTATCTCACTGGTAGAAGCCAAAAAATATCTTTGAACAATAATACTTCCGAAAGTGGAAAAATAGTAAACGGAGTTCCTCAAGGGTCAGTCTTGGGCCCAATTTTATTCTTGCTGTATGTTAACGATCTGGCTAAATTGGATATATCTGGAACATTCACCTTATTTGCGGATGACACCACGGTATTTTGGCATAATGGAGATTCGGCCACTTTGACTCGAACAATACACTCTGATTTAGAAAAAATAAAAAATTGGTGTGAATCGAATATGTTGTCGCTGTGGGATTTGGATAAGGTAACTTTAGGTTGTCAGACGGTTGAAAGTAAGCTTGTATCGAAATTCCTCGGTATATTTATTGATAGTAATTTAAAGTTTGACACACAAATTAATGCACTGAAAAAGAAATTGTCTTCTGGTTGCTTTGCCGTGAATGTCATATCTCGTGAACTCGGATTTTCAGCTTCAATGACCGCATACTATTCACTTATGGAGAGTCATCTTAGGTATGGAATTCCATTTTGGGGCTCTGCCTGCCAGGTTTTATTGCAAAGTATATTCGTCATTCAAAAAAGAGCTATGAGAATAATATTCAAAAAGAGGATTCGCGACTCGTGTAGGCCAATTTTCTGCAAATATAAAATACTAACAATATTCGAAATTCTTATTATAGACTGTTTGCTTGCTTCACAAACATAAAGAAAAGTTCTTGAATCGAGCAGAAAGGCATACACGAAAGGAGATGATACTTGTCCTTCCACTCCCCACATCAACTTTGACCAAGCATTCTGAAATCTATAGAAGTAGACAGATATATAATCATTTACCGAAACAAATAACAGCAGTCAATGATCAGAAGCAATTTATGAAATCGGTAAAAAACCTTGTGATGGGAAAGTGCTTCTATAGTTTGGAAGCGTATTTTGCATATAATTTCTAGTTTTTCTATATAAATGTTACGATCTACATCAAGATTTTAATAAACTGTAGTTGTGAAAACACGTTTGTACCGTACCGTATTATAACCTTTATGTAAATATTTTTTAGTCTTGTTTCTTTTACAATTGTTCGTTTTTTATATATATGATATACCTTTGTCGACGAAATGTCATACATTTTAGACAATAAAGATTATTCTCTCTCTCTCTCTCTCTCGACGAATCGCCATGAAGGTTTGTTCGAAATGAGCTCTGAAATTCAACAATTTCTAACAACGCATAGACTCATTATTTACATAAAAAAGCGTGAGAAGTGTTGCAAAAATTAGTTCAGGTTCCTACCGACACAGTGGAATAAATGGATGCCAATAATTCATTATCAGTCCTCCCGCCCATTATCATCAAATAATAAATTATACAGGGTGTTAACAAATAAGTGTCACAACGGAAAACTGTAGATTCCTCATAATAAAATAAACATTTCTTTCATCTTAAAAGTTTTTCGCCGGGCTTCCGTTTTCAAGATACAGTGCGTCAAAAAATCAAAAATGTTCAGTTTAATTAAACAGACTTTACAACACTTAATAAACTTAACAATTTGACAACCAGCATCGAGACCAGCATACTCAAGAACCTGACATTTGATTGAACATATTATTAGACAGTTCTGAGGTGTTTATTTCCAGTGGATTTTTAGACGATTTTTGGAGATACCATCAGGATTTTGTATGTCCTTATTCATAAAGAGCCATTTTTCGCCAAAACTGTTCACTTTAGAGCATCAAGACATGATGCCGTTTTTTGTGTGAAAGATATTGGCGCTTCAGAATCTACTTTGAAAATTACAATTTCTCCAAAGGCAAAAATGTTTGGGGAGTTAAACCCTTACGAGGCGTTGAATTCTCCTCCACTGACATGTACAAGGAAATTGATCAAGAGCCCTAAAAGTAGTCATTATTGATGATGAAGTGTGTACGAAGGCCTAACTCCGTAGCTCAAACGTTTCCTGAAATAGTAGCAAAAAACAGATTTTTTTGTATTGTTGGACGCCCTGTTTCTTGAAAACGGAAGCCCTGAGAAAAATTTCGAAAGGGAAAAAAATGTGTCTGTTTTCATGAGGAATCTACAGTTTGTCGTTGTGACACTTATTTGTTAACACCCCGTATATCTAGTAACTTCAAATTCAGAAAGAACTAACTTCTAAAAAGGCCTTATGGGAATGTATGAAATGATGTGTCGTTAAATCCTGAGTTTATTTTTGGGTAGATACTGGATTTTTTTCACATGGATGAATAGCTGGGTGAATATAAGGTGTCTGATATAGAATAAAATTGTGGAAAATATTACCACCATGACACTTGTGATTTAGGGATTATCGCAAACGTTTTTATCGAATTAACATATTGAATGTCATTATTTACATAGAAAATATTAGAAATATATAGCAAGGAATGGTGGTGAGTATAGAAAATAACTGGTATTTTTTGCAAAGGATATTGGACTACAACCTCCTGAAAGTGATATCTAAAACATGGTTGTACGGATTAGAAGCTTTGAAGGAACTGTCAGTGAATCATAACTTTATCAACAAAATTGAACAGGACTCATGGGAATTTTGTCATACTCTGCTACTTCTGTGAGTTCCAAAGATTGATGTGGTTGTGCACCGATTTCATAAACTTTATTTTCAGTGACCTTTCCTTCAACAACCTAGAGTCCATTGAAGAAGATACATTCAAAAATCTAGGACACTTGCAAAAACTGTCGTTGAATGATAACAACATAACATACATCAAAGACAAGGCTTTTGTTCATTTATCAAAATTGAGATTCTTGTAAGTACATTAGTAATAGTCTGTATTTTACTACTTGATTCATCTCATCATAATTGTTAATAACGATAAAACTACTGTAATTTCCATCAAAACAAACTGGGTTCATCTATTATTAATGTAGTTCAATATTTTTACCAAATTCTTATCGTCACCCTCATACTATGTCAAACAACTCTTTACCAAAACTCGTTTGTCTATAGAACAACAAAGCTTTGAAATTCTTTGCCAAGGAAGTATTTACAAGAAGTTATGATCTCAAAAAAAAAAACAATGACCTTCCTTCTCTCCCTATCAAAAGAATGTATTTTAATTTCAGTTATATTTGCTTGACCTAGAGACATCTTTCTGATGAAGAACAATGCACATTCGTATCCAACTATTTGATGTGTTTCTTCATGGAATGACTCCTTAGATTACAATACAGGATGAATAAAAAAAATATTTTTTTCATTGAATATCACTATTAATGAGGTATTCTGTCAAAATTTTGTGTATTGGTGTTTCAGCTATGCCTATTAACTTTTTCCAATAATAAAAACTGATAGTTTTTGCAATTTGGACCCCTTCAGCTAAAGTAGGCCTTGAAAATATGAATATACTTATCAGATTTTTTCACATTTGTGAATACTGTGAGGACTACCTATGTGTGGAATTCTTGTTTTCAATAATGAGTAATCAGGTTTCAAATTATGAGGGTGTTGCCTTCTTGAATCGGACACAATGTATGTTGTTAGATGAACTTTGTTTCACACTGATTGCATAAACATCACTATTTCTGGAAATATTGCCAATTTTTCATTTTTCAAAATTTCGATTTTTTTCTGTCAAACAGGAGTTGGTTGTATTGTTCTATCCTCATCTATTGTTTTATACAGGAATGGACCGTACTAAAGTATTTTACCAAAAATACGTAATAAAAAAATCACATGTCATAAACCTCGTGAAGCTTATTTGATGAGATGAATCTTTCACGAACTATTGAACAACTCTTAAGATATTTTCAAACAAAATTTCTGCTTCCAGAAATTTGAATAACAATAAAATTTGGGTGACGGTTGAAGATTCAAGTGGTGTATTTCAAGGACTTGGTGATTTGATGAAATTCCATCTGGCAGGAAATAAAATCAAGTCTATAAATGCTGATGCCTTTTTAGGACTGAAAAATGTTAGCCATCTGAATTTGGGTAACAATAACATAACTTCTATACAGAATAATGCCTTTGCAGAACTACCCCATCTGAAGGTAAGAAGATGTGAAATACTTTTTATTTGTATAGTCACTCTAGTTGAAATACTTCCACTCCATTCATTATGATATTATGGTGTAGTTATATGATTTGAGAAAATATTAAATTTAGATCAGGAAAAACTCTGGGAATTAAATTTTTTCATGTTGTGGAAATTCTTCGCTAGTATATTATCATTTGGTAAACAATATTGAAACATATTTTTTTCAGGACTTGGTTATAAACACCACCAGCTTACTATGTGACTGCAATTTGAGATGGTTTTTCGACTGGTTGAATTTAAAACAATTGAAAGTACAGGCAACCATTTGTGCCTACCCGGACTGGTTACGTGGTCAGTCTCTACTATTAGTAACCAGTAATTTGACTTGCGGTGAGTAGATAACCTCCATCTCAGGATAACATGTAAAAATATGTTATTTTCCAGACGAATTGCCAAAGCCTAGGTTAATCGAAGAACCTGACCCAGCCATAATGGCTTTGAAAGGGGAAAACGTAACTCTCGCATGCAGAGCCATGTCCAGTTCACCAAGCCAAATGACCTTTTTCTGGAAAAAAGACAACATCGAACTAGTCAATCCAAACGTCGTTGTTAAATCCAGAACAGACGAAGATGGAAAATCCACTGAAACCAGTTCCCATCTGCATCTGCTGAAAGTAGAAAACTCTGATGCAGGGAAGTACCAGTGTGTGGTGTCCAACAGCTTCGGTACCACGTATTCCCAAAAATCCACGATATCAGTGCTGGTCTATCCTACTTTCACCAAAGTTCCTAAGAACGTAACGGTACACGCCAGCGAGACAGTCAAATGGGAGTGTGCGGCAGACGGAGAGCCGCCTCCACAGATCGCTTGGCACAAAGGCGGGGGAGACGATTTCCCTGCAGCCAGAGAGAGGCGGATGCAGGTCATGCCGCTGGACGATGTGTTTTTCATTATCGATGCTAAGCCGATCGACATGGGGATTTATAGTTGTACTGCTCATAATGCAGCAGGTAGGTTCAAATAGGGTCCCTTGATGGAAATTGACGTTAAAGTAATCTTAACAGGGTATGGACAGATCATAGCGGCATTCTTTTTTAATGATCTAGAGATTTTAGTTTTGTCTACTGGCTTCCCTGACATTGCAGTCACGTCACATCCATGGGCGCTACAGAAAATCATTCAAAATTTTGAAATAGGTATGTACAGGGTATGTACTTGTTGAGGAAGATCATATGGCGAACGAGTTTTGTAATTATGATCCGATTCTATTCAAAATTGGAAGGTATATGGGGTTTTCCGGGGTTGGAGATGATGATTGTTTTGTCAACTTGGAAAATTCAAGATGATGGATCCAATATATAGCAAAAGAAATTTCTAATTATGATCTGATTCTATTTAAGATTGGTATCTGTGGGTTTTCGGGGTCGAACTTTATGATTTTTTGTCAAAATTGGGAAATGCAAGAAAGAGGAACCAATATGGCGAACGAAACTTGTATTTTTTTATGTTCTGCTTCCCACGAAAAAGGACATCCTGTTATGTTCAGAGAACATCGTGAGAACCAAAGGAAATAAGGTAGGAATTGGTGTTCTTCTTGAATTTCTGGAGGTTTCATGCCTTGGGGAACACCTCCCTTGGCAAAGTGTTCCAGAGCCTCGCTGTTCGTTGGATGAACGAGTCTTTGGAAAGAGATTTTCTGCAGGTCTCCAAAGTGACCATGATTCTATTCAAAAAATCAAAATTGGTATCTGGGGATTTCCGGGGTTGGAGATTATAATTATTTTGTCAAAATTGGGATATTCAAGATGGCGAATCCAATATGGTGGACGAGTTTTGTAATGATCTGATTTTATTCAAAATTGGTATCTGGGGGTTTTCGGGGTAGGAGATGATGATTGTTTCGTCTAAATTGAAAAATTCAAGATGACGGATCCATTATGGCGAAAGATATTAGTTTATTTAATTATTACTCTACCACAAATAGAAAATATGTGGGATGCAAAAGTGAAAATAACGTGCCTATAAGTTATACTGCATATACTTAGGGTATACCTACTTCTTTGTTGCTTTCATCAATAAATTATTCGAAAATTACTTTTTATTCAAAAGAGACGGAAAAATCATATGTATAACATGGGGGTAAAGTATATTCTATTCTTTATTTTCCTGCACATTTTACGTATTAATTTTTATCAGCCTACTTTTCGTCCTAGACGAAGTTTTATACATAGTGTAGCACACATGACATGAGTACAGTAGTCTGGATACCCACATCGAGGTTTCCACCATTTCTTAATCATTATGCTCAGCTCATTCAGCTCATAGATAAACTGCTGCTCAGCTTGAAATCAGAATTCATTCAGTCAATTCAGTCAACCCTGGTATACAGTCTAAGAACAGTATCTTTTGGTGAAATATATTAAGCTTTCAGTACAATTTATATCTTCCCTAAATCGCAAATATTGTGCTGGAGTAGTAAACTCTAAAACTAGAGGATTGTTCATCTATATCCTGGTATAGTTGAATCAGGAATTCCATGTGGAAATTACGTATGATACGCCAGTGACCTCAATATAACCTGAAAAACAACGAATGTCAAAAATCTAGTGTATTCCCAGAATTGAATAAGGATGGAACTATATAACTGTTTCACAAACACTGTTAAGATGACAAATACGTCAGTTTGCATCAAGGGACCCTAAGTTCAAAGAAAACAGTATACATGCAGAAACACGTAGGTTCAAAGCACCGACATAACCTACTATTCAAGGTATCTCAGATTTAACTGTACATATCATAATACATGTAGATAGAGGACACTTCTTCCCCCATTTATGTGTACCGGTTTCTGTAACTGAGAAACAGGACGTTATCTTGATTTTGGAAAAATCTTTATCTGCTTATAATTTTTTATTCATTTTGTATAATCTATCCATACTTGGTAAATAAATTTCACCTATATTACTCAGGATAATTGAATGTGTAACATGAAAATTACTTTTCCTCGAATTTTAAGTTCCATCTTTATAATTCACGTATAGAAGCATCGAGACACTGTATCTGAAATTCTTTATTTATATTCCATATTTACATGACACTAGATAGTCTTGAAGAACCCTTAGTTGATCAGACTTCTACGACCTGAAAATAAATGTAAATATAACAAGTTGATCAAAAATAACAATTAGAAAGTACTCACCTGGTTCAGGATGTTCTTCTAGTCTGGGCTGATTTTGTGCTTCAGGGAAAATGAGATCGGACTCCGGACTCCAGGTCCGGCTTTAGGAAAAACAGTAAACTTCTTTTATTTCAAGAACAACACTATATGGCAAAATTTTCGTGATATATTCTGATACCTAAGAAGAGCGGGAAAAAAATTAATAAAGTGACCTTATTTCTTCATGAGAGTCAAATTATCTGGATAGATTTGTTCCTTCGAAAGAATACCTTGAATGATTTTAGAAATTTTCAAGGGCTTATTTTATTCTTCATTCATAAACTGTGTAAAAAAATGCTGAAATTCTGACAGTTCATGATCACTAGTGTGATATCATTGGTAACGAAGGATGGTAATGTTAGGTAACGTTCGAGTAACGTTAGAGCTTGTATTGAGTAATTTTTCGAAATGTTCATAAATATGCCTCGACGCAATATCCTTGACGGTCAGAATTTTATATGTTTTGCAAAGCCTACTTCACCACAACTCATGAATAAATAGTGAAGAATACAGTGGGCCCTCTAAAATGTCTAAAATCGTTGACACGTTTTTCTGTCAAACAAACAAATCTATCGAGAGTTTACCTAATTTGGGGAAGTTGAAATTGGAATTACAAGTTCATTAAAATGCCTCAAAATGGAGCTGAATATTTGAAAAAATACATCTGTCAAATTGGATGCGCGCTCGTAAAAAGTATGTCACTTTATTCATTGTTTCTCTTTTTTTTCAGATATCAAAGCAGATCTACAAAATTTTGCCATACAGTGTGTTGTGTTTTTAATAAAAGGAATTTTCTGTTTTTCCTACAGACGGACTTGGATTCCGATCTCGTTTTCCATTTAGTTTTCATGGGTACTATAAATAAAATATATCTTACCAATTATGAATTGCTTATAGTGAGTGATTCAGAAACTATGATCAGATAAAGATTCTGCCTAAATCATGATAACGTCCTATCTTTCATTGCAAAAAAACTTGAATCAAGTTAACCACAGACCTGGTCAATATGGTGTTTTCATGTCATATTTTGATGAATTATTGTTCCCAGGAATTTTACAATAATTGATTGTTTACATTATTGAAACAGTGGAAACAGTATTCCTTTCTTCATAATCAAATATTTTCAGGCACAATCGTCGCAAATGTGTCACTGGCCGTGGAAGAGAGGCCTTCTCTCATTAAAAAGAACGGGGACAAAGAAGTGACCGCCGGCGAACATGTGGTCCTCCAGTGTCTCGCCAAAGGTTTGCCGAAACCTACCATCACCTGGATGAAGAACGGCGAACCCATCATACCGACTGAGCGGCACTTTTTCATCCACGAGGACCAAATGGTGATCATTGTTGACTCCGTGCAGTCCGATTCTGGGACCTACGAATGCCATCTGAACAATTCCCTTGGTGAGGAGACCGGAAGAAGTAGGATCGTGGTTAAACCAAGTGAGTACCTACTGTAGATCTTTCAACTCAATGTGTGAATGATTTGAATGTGTCAAAAATGCCATTTCCTTTATTGCGGAGAAAAATGATACCATCCTTTTTCTAATTATTCTTTCCTAATAGTTTTTCCTGGATGAATAACCTAAGAAATTTTCCGTTCGTACATGACAGTGTTGTTTAATAGGCTATTGTACTGGTATTGCATTTTTCACTAGAGTCTAGCCTAGATCTAGTCTAGTCTAGTGGTCGGCGACAGGCGGACCGCGGTCCGTATCCGGACCGCGGAAGGTCAAAGGACGGACCCTTCTTAGAGGTAGATAGGTACATAGCTGTTTTTAATGTTTTTATGATGTGCATTATAGCATCATAAGATAATGCTTTGGAGTGCGAGGGTACGGGCGGGTGAAAGGGTGCGGGTGGGAAAGAGCGGACTGGCCCATGGGACTGGCGGGCATATTTCGACCTTTCGATATGTCAGTTATTAGGTAGTTGTAATCCTGTGAGGAGCATTCGTTCATTGTTCAAATTTGTCGTGCATCAAAACATTTCCTACCTACTATGAATCCTAAAAAGCGAAAAGTTGACAGTGAAAATGGGAAGTTTCTGACTGAGTGGACTGAACAATATTGTTTTACGCTGCCTGATAGGCCTAAACCAGTTCCCGTTTGCCTCATATGCAACAAAACTGTCGCGATTGTTAAAACTGCAAATTTAAAGCTACACTACGAAACAACTCATCAGTAGTTCCACAAAAACTTTCCTCTTGACAGTGAAGCTCGTAAAGAAAAACTACAAACATATCTAACTTCTTACAAAAAAAGCACTGCCTTACTAGTTCTCTGCATGAGCGAGCAAGAAAAATGCGCAGAAGCAGCATTGCGTGTGTGCTGGACGCTTAATAAACACCAAAAGCCGTTTTCAGACTCTGAGATAGTGAAAGAATGCATGTTGGAAGTGGCCACTGCACTTTTTGAAGAGAAAAAGGATATTGTCGCCGCAATTCAAGGTATTCCATTATCGGTAAGGAGTAATACAAGAAGAACAGAAATTTTAGCTGCTGAAAACAAAAGTAGTCTGCTCGAACTTCTGCAGAAGGCACCTTGCTACGCCATAGCACTTGATGAATCATGTGACATTGTTGATGATGAACAAATGTCTATTTTTGTGAGATTTTTTGACATTGAAAGTAAAGTGTTCAGGGAAGAATTACTAGCGATATTGCCGTTCAAAGGTAAAACTCGGGGAGAAGATTTATTCAAGACATTTGATGAATTCATGACGAAATCAAATATTAGTTATGATAAAATGGTGTCCCTTTCAACTGACGGGGCTCCAGCGATGATTGGCAAAGAAAAAGGATTAGTAAAGAGAATTAGGGATAAGAATGCAGCCCTAATATCATATCAGTGCATAATTCACCAGACAGTCCTTTGTGGAAAATTCAGTGCTAGGTTGAAAGAAGTAATGGACACCTTGGTCAAGTTGATAAATTTTTTAAGATCTCGTTCTGCTCTTCAGCACCGACAGTTGAAGGAGTTTCTTTCTGAATGTGATTCAGCGTATTGTGACTTACTGCAACACAATAATGTTCGTTGGCTAAGTAAAGGTCATATTATTGAGCGTTTCTGGCAAGTAAAAGAACATGTAACCCACTTCTTGCAAAACTTGGATACACAGGAAGCAAGAAATTATTTGGATTTCATAACAAATGAGCACAATATGCTAGCTGTGGCTTTCCTAAATGACATCTTGAAATATTTGAATATGCTCAACACCGAGTTACAAGGAAATGGGAAATTAATATGTGATCTCATACAAAGTGTGTCTGCTTTTCGTCGCAAGCTGAATATTTTTGAAGAGGACGTTAAAATTCAAGAGTTCCTTCATTTTCCAACAATTCTCAAATATGAGAAGAAAACCTCTGAAGAAGACATTGCTGTATTTTCAAGGTTCATAACAGATCTTGGGAATGAATTTGCTGCAAGATTTCAAGACTTCGCAGAGATAGGAAAGCTGTCTCAGTTCCTTAAATTGCCTTATGAAGTTGCTGCAGCGGCAGAATGGACTGACGTTGCTGTGAAATTGTTCAGTCTTTCAAAGCCTTCGCTTCAAATGGAGATAATTGATTTGCAAGAAGATATCTCCTTGCAAATATATAAAACTGCATCCACTGATGAATTTTGGGGTAAACATGTTCCAGAAAAGTATGCAAATTGCAAAAAATTAGCTATCAACCTGGTTACTATGTTTGGCTCCACATATATATGTGAATCTTCCTTTTCAAAAATGAATTTTATGAAGAACAAGTATCGTTCCAGATTAACGGATGCTCACCTTGAAGACACTCTTCGCATTTGCTTTTCCCCACGTGAACCAAACTATAAAAAATTGGCTCAAGACCGCAGGTGTAATTTCTCGCTTCTCGCATTGATTTTTAGAATCGTGTTATACCTAATTACTTACATAGAAAATCGAAATAAAAATTCAAAACTAGTACGACTTTTTTTTCGGACCTCGAAACAAATTTCCATTAAATATCCGGACCCCAGTTGAAATTACTTGCCGACTCCTCTAGGGCCAGCACCTTCTGAGTAGGTGAATTTACCCGAGCGCTGACAGCGGACACGATCAAATCCTCCTGATGTGTGTGATACTGAAGTCTGATAATCCAACAAGAGCTTTCATATATGTACTTACCTATGTTGGTAATAATACCAGAGCACAGCTTATTAAGCTGTGACCAGAGTCATACCAACCAATAAATATTTTTGAAACAAGTCCACAGAAAAAAGATGATGAGGATAAAGTTGAGTGCTGAAGTTCTTCTCAATTCATATATAGGAACTTTCTTTTGGCATTCCATTTACTCATTAGATTTTTACTCAATTTTGTTTTGATACTCAACCACTAGTTGGTGTCTTCCAATTTCAATGTTAAAATTCATATAATATGATTGTTTGATTTCGATTGAAAACTGAACGTGATAAATGCGTATGTATAGATTATAGGTGGATGTATTTATAACGAACTATAGTAGTGTTTTTTCCGCCGATTACGATGATGAAAACGAAACCAAAATCTAACATTGCTTTAACCAGTGAAGTCAAGAAGTATTCGATATGTTTAAATGGGACATCCAATATAATACATATTCTCAATCGATAGAAAATTCGATTCAGTAGGTATATCTAATGAACTTTCATCCTAAATTCAGAAATGAGCAATAAACTATCGACGTTTCACTTTTTATTTTATGGTATGTATGGCAAAGTAACGATCGCCAGTATAATACCTGGACAATGCCTCGATCGACTGTAACACAGAATCACTTTGGTAAATTTGAAAAATCATCAGTATATACATTGTGACCCATTTCTAATGGAAACACTCCTGTATCTTACATAATCGTTGGGTAAGTATCCTGAAATTTTCTGGAGCGAGAGACATACCAAAAATGTACTCTATGAACAAGTGGGGTCATCTTCAGTGATATAAACTGCTTGCCAACAGCCATGGAACCACCCCAATTTCCGGAAAATGACATTATTAGTCAAAATAGGTTGAAAATCACTTCGGATTCGGAATCAGGACGCCCAATTCACTAACACATTATTCATAGGTTTCCTAGAAAATTTTCAGTTCAGAAAAATCAAATTCTGTCTCACTTCTCATGGAAGCACCTCCGTATCTCACGTAATTATTGAGATAGGGTTCTGAAATTTGCAGGAGGAAAGGAAAGTCCAAAGATGAAAAGTCACTTACGTAAGATACGGAGGTGCTTCCGTAAAAAGTGCAACAAAACTCAATTTTTCAGAACTGAAAATTTTCCAGAGAAAAAAAAAGAATAATTAGTGACTTGGGCGTCCTGATTCCGAATATGAAGTGATTTATGACCTATTTTGACTCCTAATATCATTTTCCAGGAATTGGGGTGGTTCCATGGCTGTTGGCGAGCAGTGTATATCACTGAAGATGACCCCACTTGTTCATAGAGTACAGTTTTTGTATATCTCTCGCTTCAGCAAATTTCAGGATCCTTACCCAACGATTACATAAGATACGGGGGTGTTTCCATTAGAAGTAGGACACACTGTATATATCAAATATAATTTTTTTATTCACGATGAAACATTATGACAGAATTCATTCTGAATCGAATTTCCTAACAATTGTAATTATCGTATACTGAGTGGGTCCCATAAAAAAAAATTAACCTTTCAACATAACTCCTGAACGCAATGTTCGATTTTTCTTTCGATTTCATCATCGTACTAATCAGCGCAAAAATACGACCTAGGTACTCTACTAGGTATAGTTTACCCTACTAACTAGCTCAACTAGCTGACATTTGTAGCTCCATCAACTAACTAAATTAGCAAGTAATATACCGACTTACATTTGAAAAGTCTGTAGGTTTTGTAAAACTATTATATACTTAATAAACTTCATGTGTCATATTCTCGTTGAGCCACCCTGTTTACTAATTTTATAATGCGTATGCCGCCATATCAGTGAAGTGAATACCAATACCTACCTACCTTAATTGATATATCATCAAATACCTATCTCCAGTCCAACAAAAACAGCACTGCAAATTATAAACTGCCCACACCACACATTGTTAAGACCAGCTAGGTATAGTAACAAGTTTTTGATCAGCAGGAGTCTAAAGGAAGAATAAATCATAATTTTTGCAAACCAAAAAGCATTTTCATCACCAAGTTACTGATAAAATATTTTAATTCAACATTCAACTCTGTATGCTCTAATTGTTTTTAATATACGCGGATCTCTCTATATTCATCAATGATTCAAAATTCTAATCCCCCACATAATTATGTTCAAAACAAACAATAAATTGGAGCGCTTTTAGAGGAATTTTGTTAGTCAAGGACATTCTTATGTTTGGGTACATTCGCCTCCTCAGAAGGTGCTAGCCCTAGACTCTAGTGCATTTTTACATTCAACAATTACACTGTGTTGTTACAGACCTCGGAAAC